TAATTTCAAAATTTCATTTCAAGGTGAAACACAAATCATTGTCAGACAGTATTTTAGCATTATCTTAAAACAATTCTGTTATCTTATGAAAATTAATTGCTATAATGAGAATAGAAACCTTTTCTGATATTTGGTGAATAGGAACTTCACACTCTTATGAAATATTCCGACTAAGTATTAATATTCATTTCTAATAAGAATGATTTGAGTTATGCTATTAATGATATTAAGAATTGAAATGCTGATAATTCAAACCCTTCCCAATGACAATAAAAACATAGATTTGTGGCTATCTGAACCTGATAGCTAAGTGTATAATACATTGAGACTTTGAATAAAAGGTAGTGAGTTGAAGTCCTGGAGTGAGTATAAACACTGGGATGCAGGTACATTTAGCTGAAAACTGACAAATAGAACGGAACGTGCGTCCTGGATTTCACTGCTAACCACAACCCTTTTATTCCACATAACTATCAGAGTGTTGCACTGCTTTTCATAAGTTTATTACTTTCCTTTACAGATATTCTGAACAATTTCAAAGGCTAATATAGTTGCATAATTTTATGTATCAGATTTTTCTACCTTCACGATGTTTCAGTCAGACGTTGAATGAATTATTGAAATACTTAAGATGGTATTTATTTTTTTAAGTTTATGCTTATTTAACCACATTAAGCACAAGGAGTTTATCGACAGACAAGAAATCAAACTGTGAAACTAATCACTACAATTAACATCAGATTAACTTTTATAAAGATCATCCGATCCTTGAAATGATACACCGAATTCCAAATAAGGTTTAACCACAAAGTAATATTTTAAAAAAGGATTATCAAACTATCTTCAGAAATTTACATAATAGATATACAAGAGTACAATTAGGTATGTCATGAAACTAAATAATACAACCAAAGTGAAATGAAACAATGTTTTTCATATGTTGGATATAATTATACTTTAAAGCAAATTACTCATCTATTCAAATAGTAGTGATGAACTTAATTTCGATTCATCTAATTTACATGTAAATTCGTGCTTTTAATCTTTGAATAGAATAGATTATAATGATCTCATTATTATAAGTCTGACAGACTGAAAATTAAATTGAATTTCAGTCATTTTGGCAACCAAAATGGCCTTGATCAAATAAATATAGTTACAAGCATTGATATCCTTTTATATGTAGGTTACTATACAACCAGATTACAAAATAAAACCACATAGGTACGTACATGTTTAAACTGGTCTGTTTATTAAATTCAAAGTACACAAGCAAACTATTAAAAAAAAACTGGAAAAAAACTAAAGATTTAGAAATTAATGGTAAAAAGTAAAAGTAAACACAACGACTAAAAAGATGGGTGCAATTGTGTTCATTAATGAATAACCTTAATCAACAATACAAAAAAATAACCATGAGTAGTTAAAGTCTCTTACTATAAATTCTAAATGTAAGAATGAGATTAATCATTGTTTGTTAGTTTGTTTTTCTTTGACAATGAACTACTCATTATGTATGTAAATTCAATTTATAAACATAAGGATTCTGAGAATATAAATTAAATGCCAAATTTATTCAATTCATAGTATGTTTATCCATAAATTTGTTGATCTGAAGGACGATAAAATTAATGACAGGAACAACAAACACTCACTGGAATAAACATTTAAATCCTTTTATTTTTTTTTTCTATATTTTAATTAATGTAATTCTCTCAACAATCATAAAAACAACAAAAACATCTAGATGACAGCATGAAAATACGAATTGGTTCATTTGAAAATGTGTAAAACATTAAAGAAATTATTGGTATACAAAAAAAAAATGGTTCACATCGATTTTGTTCGTTAGAGGTAAATGATTATAGAGCTAACATCAATATCAAAAATATCCGACTGACTAGTTTATTTCATTCTCAGACTGGTTATTACAGTGTTAACTAATAGTGAGTAGGCTAGTCACCAGCTAAACTCCAACTCGGTCAAATTCAACTTGTAATTAAATTATATTAGTCAGAATAACTCAATTTATCATGCAAAAGTAAGAAAATTTGTAATATTCAATACTTACTAGCCATACGGTGACTGTGTGAGATTGTAACAAATTATAATAGCTTCAGTATTCTGAATGGTACTAATATCATTTACGCAATACCAATACACAGACCACAGTTAGTTATTATCCTTATAGACAACAACAAACCAGATCTTAGGTCAACAGAACAAACTACTCTTTAATTGTTAAAAAATTAAATAAATCAATATTGATGATTTCGGCAGGAGACGCTAAGAAAGTTCTACTATTAAACAATTCAACTCAAAGAATAAAATCCTGATCCTGAACTATAAATGTTACACATCATATGAGAATTCAATTTGATATCGATCCCAAATTTCGAAACAGAAAATTCGGTTATCTGTCGCTTTCAACTTTTAGCATAAGAACCTCAAAGTATCAATGATTGTCTCTGATGTCTTGTTGCACGTTTTTAGTTTGTTCAACAACCATCTCAGAAAAAACTCCTCTAAATACTTTAACCATAGTGGTAACATGACATTGAATCTTATCTTATATTCAAATGATAACACTTTGAATTTGAATTTCTATCGTACTTAACCCAAAAATTTATTAAAGAAATGTTCATCTATCTCAAAAATTAACTTTGACGAATGTTATGATTGAAATGCAACAGAAGAAACCTCTTGAAAAATCTATACACAAACTTGATACTCCGTAAATAATGGGTTGAGTAAATAGAAGTACCTTGTCATCAAAAATCGATCCGACGATGAAAACATTGAGCAGGCAATTCATAATGATTTATTGATTCAATAATCCACCCATAAAAGGCTTCGAATTGTATTTCAACCGATTAAAAACTAAATTTCCAGTAGATTTACTGTGAATTCCAAAATAAGTATATAGGATTCTGTCAAATAAAAATCGAGTTACCAAATGTATATTTTGTATTTGAATAACAATCCAAATTGAAAATTACCTGAATTATATCACAAACAATAATTCATTTCAAAAATTCATCAAAATTCTTCAGGCTGTCTTCAAAAGTGTATTAAATTACATTAAACATGAGTGAAATCCACTGACTAGTGTGAAATATAATCTACAACAGGCTAAAAATGGCCTCGAAAGGGTGACAACAATATAAACGTACGACAGTTAACCAGATCGATACTTCTCAGGGTACAGAACAGATGGAAGGTGGTTACCAGTGACCTGAATTCCGCTCAGAGAAGAAACTACATGAAAATCATCCACCTGAGCTACATATGTTCTTTACCTAATCAAAATTAAAAACACTATCCTTTTGAAAGAATATTCTGACGATTAATGGAACTATCACAACAAAAAAATCGGAAAGACATAGTCAATGACAAGTTGAACGATATCTAATGAAAACAAAACTGTTGTTCAGTTCAAAATGTTTCTAATTACAATGGTACGAATAAGAGATACGTTTGAGAAAACAGAACTGATCTATACATTGGTGAATGAATTACCAATCCAGTTTAAAATCTATGCATTTGATCATTCATCTACCTTGATTTGCAATAAGTTAGCATTGAGACTTACTCTGTCTACTCTTTAAACTACTCAATCATGAAGTGTCAAGCATTTGACAGCATAGAATAACAGAGAAGCTTACTCTCGCCGAAATTAATTAAATTCAACTCACTGACGTTTATCCACGTGAATGTTGTCATTTTTAGTTCAATAACATCATTGTCAAACACTCGTCATAAACAATATCTTGACCAGAAAATGTTTCGATAGAATTTTATCATTTAGTAACTAAATAAATAGATAGTAAGCATTCTTTCTGTGCTCATGAACCAACCATCTATTCTGACAGTACCAAACTAGACAAATAGACTAATTTCATGAAATATATCACACTCAAAGGAAAAACCAAAATCCTATACTGTTTTGGTCGACAAAAGTAAACAGTAAAATCTTCGTTTTCGAGTGAGAATTTTGTGGAAATTTGGAATATCAGAAGTATTGTTAAGTTGCCTACATACGTCTTCTGTTATTCCTTGACGCTTACGGAATTCACTGAAATCACATCCGATCATTTACTGACTTAGTCAAATTAGAATACTATTATTATTAATATTATTAATATTGAACTCATCACTTCATATCAAAAATATTGGAAAATGGAATTTCTAGCCAACTCATCAACCAGTTGTTTGGAGATAGAATACCTCCCGACGACGTCAGTAGGCCACCAGAATAGAAAACATGTCTGTTGGCTTGTATTAAATCAGAGATTAATATTTCTTCAGTTGATCATCGATATTTACCATTTTGAAGTGAATTCCATGTTCCATCATTCACAGCGTTACATTCGACTGGATTGAAAGCTAACTGTGACTTCGCACTCAACACACGTTTCATTCTACAACACAATACTTTTCTTGTTACTGGTCAAATATCGGTTATTGGTGTGATACGAATCTCATATTTCACAGATAAACAAGTTTAAATAAACTTCAATTAACTTAGCTTTACAGAGGTCTCTCTTGTACAATGGATTTAATATTTTACAGAAAATTTTAGATAGAAAGATAATTTACTGAAAGTTACAGGAATACATCCATTAACATTTTGATCAGACAGATTAGAAGTGATCTAATTTAATGTATTCTGGAATGCATTGTACCGAGAACAAATAGTCCAGTTGCAATAAAAATCATATGTTTTAACTACTTAAATGGTACAAGTAGTTCAACTATTCTGAGTTAATTTCTCATCTGAAGATGGATTCGTCACGAAGCTTGATCTAGATCATAAGTCATCTTGATAGGACGAATACAACTGATTTGTTCATGCATATCAGTAATTCCATAGATATACAGTACTACACTCAAGATTTGTAAAAATCGAATATGACCCACATAACCACATTCTCATACGATCCAAATACGTATCTAGCACAAACTAACTGATCAATGAGGAAATTCAAGATGTCTCACTACTGCACTCATATTATGTAGACCAATGGGATTGGGAGATCATTATTCAGAGAGATGAACGAAATGACGAAAAATTGGAGGAAGTAGTTGAGAAGATATATGACTCTATGAAAGTGACTGAGAACATTTTGATATCGGCATACCCAGTGTTAAATCGCAAGTTACCGGAAAATATTAAATTCATTACAACGCAAGAATTAGAAGATATCTACCCCGACAAAAAACCGGAAGAACGTGAATATCTTGCAGTTAAACAGTACGGTGCTGTTTTTCTCAAACAGATCGGAAAGCTTCTGAAATCCAATACGATACACGACAATCGAGCCCCAGACTATGATGACTGGGAATTGAATGGAGATATACTAGTTTATAGTGAACACGACGATAGATGTATAGAATTGTCATCAATGGGTATCCGAGTGGATGAGTTGTCAATGGAGAGACAGTTGAAAGAAAGTGGTTGTGAAACACGTAAACAGCTTGAATATCATCAAAATGTTCTGAATGGTATATATCCATTAACGATAGGTGGTGGAATAGGACAGAGTCGATTGTGTATGTTCTTTATGGAGAAGAAACATATTGGTGAAGTGCAAGTTAGTATATGGCCTGAACACGTTCGTCGTGAATGTGAACAGAATAATATATTTCTCCTGTAAACTGAACGAAATCATTTTCTCTCAGCTTTATTGTTGAAAAGAATGTGAAGTGCATGAATATTAATTGTATGTATGTTTTCATAAATGTTGTCCTTTCAATGTTTGTGTGATTTTGACTTTCTTGTGTTCTCGACTATGATAATGGCGAAATAGATACTGTTTCAGCTAATCGTTAAATGAATGAATAGAGTTTCCACGTAATTTGATTGTGTGCAGAATACTTTTCAATTCTGAAGTTCATAAATTCGATTATCAGCTCTACAGATCGATCTTTATGAAATGCGGATTTCCGTATATTATGAAGGAACTCTTCCTATCTCTCACTAATGATCGAACAAGCTTAAAACTCCAAAGCTAGCACGTTTGGATTGAGATCATCCAACGAATGATGTTAGATCACCATGGAAAACCTAGAAGCACTGAACGGGCGTTTCGTCCTATTGTAGGACTCTTCTGCAGTACGCATACATGACCCCCTTCGCGCGATTTCAACCCAGTGTCATCGGCCTCGCACGTAAACGAGAAACCTCCAACGCTGTTAATGTCTAGTTTCAAAAAATCCATGAAATTGCGCGACCACCGTCCATTGTACTCAGGTGTTGTAGTGGATTGATACTATTCTCAATGTTTTCTATGGTTGGTTCCGAGCTGTGGTGGATGGAGAACGGTTTCCTGTGGATATTGACAGCATCTGACTAATTCGGTCTGTCGATTGTGGCTAGCTGATTACTACTAAGTGACGATATAGTGCGTGGAATTGCAAGGTGGAAAGCGATTATATTTCTCATTCTCTCCGTTGTACCAATGGGTTGGCAGTATTCTCACTACCATTTGTAGACATCCAGGTTTCCTCGATTCAACCAACCTCCATATTCATGCTAATGACAGTTAGACGAGAAAGTTGCAATGTGTGTAGTGCTTCGGTTCGACTGATCACATTTTACCAAACTATAACAAGGGATTATCGAAGCTCTTACCACCCATGAGCTCAAGCCATAACTATACATACAAAATAGTACGTCCTATCGTTATCATTACCTTGACCTTTATTATTATTATTATTATTATCATTATTAGTATTGCATTTCTCCCCTTACGTGTGTCCCAAATCCTCATTAGTTTATTCATAATTGCTCATGATATCATTTTATTTACTTTTTACACGACCATAACCTTTAATTATTGTAACAAAAATATTTGAATCATCCTACTACATTCAAGTTATAACTCGTTACTAACTTATGAAGTCGATTGTTATTATTTTTGTTACGTATTCTAGTATTATAATCTTTCTATTACGTCATCTTGGTTATTCCATGTTCACATTTCCTTACGGAACTAGTAGTTTAAACAACAACAAAAAACTGTTTCTTTACTTATATTTAGTGACAATCATATATTTTAAAACAAAATAATTGGTCAGTACAGTAGATAACAGAATAATACTTTCAGACCTAATGACAGTTGCATGACCAGACCTACACACAGATAAATCGATGTACTGACTTTAAAGTTTATTGGCTAAAAGTTTGATATTGAATAAAATGAAAGATGAGAAACTGAGAGGTAGTTTGAATGAATTGTGTGTATACAATCCAGTTTTCTCATCATCCGAGTGACGTAAAGATGCCACGAGTATTCGGAGTTTGACAACGCTTTAACCAGTAACACCTCTTATAATCTAAATATACCATCCCAGTCAAATCAGAAGTGAAGAGGTTCGAGGATATAAATGTGTAGCACGGAGTACCCACTCGTGATCTGGTGCGGATGCATGACCGAGGACATACAGCTAGATGAGTACAGTAAAACGTATGCGCTCAGCATCATATGTCGAACACTTACAGAGCAATTGTTTTTGCGAATTTATTTACCACTACAAAGCAAAATATACTATGAATAGTTTTTGGTTTTCTCCAAGTCGTATAGCCGTATGGTCTGAGTGGATCCCATAACCAAAATCAAGTTCACTTAGCACATCACATCAATTCAGTGATATTAAAATGATTTGCAAAATCATAGATCCAGAATGCCAAATAATTTTCTCGATCTATTTTGATTCACTTATGAGAAAATTAAACAATCCATCTAATTAATACACAATGTGTTCCTAGTCGATGCCGCCTTAAACGTTCGGTTACGATTTTATAGTGTTGTGAATTTTTAGGATAGAAACAATTGATCACTTTCAACACATGGGCTTCTAATATACATGCTTCGATACGACTTAGTTACACCTGATAATATTCGATAAGGAACACCATTGTTATTCATCAGTCTAGTCGAGACTCCTCAGCTAGATGAACATGGATCTCGACTCAGTTATGATATTCGTAGTGCGACTATACATTGGAACCTATTAGTTTGTTTGGAATATAGACGTAGCAGTTACTTATGCCAGTTGCAACGCTTCATTGTGAAGATGAGTCGATAGAAAATTCTGAATCTACTGTTTCTATTTGTTATCACTCAATATAAAAACACCACAATCCAAAGCATCCACTCAATACATTTAGTGTTATGCGCAAGTGAATTTACTGTAGTAGTAATATATAGACAATAACTCACTCACACAATCAAATTACGTGGAAACTCTATTCATTCATTTAACGATTAGCTGAAACAGTATCTATTTCGCCATTATCATAGTCGAGAACACAAGAAAGTCAAAATCACACAAACATTGAAAGGACAACATTTATGAAAACATACATACAATTAATATTCATGCACTTCACATTCTTTTCAACAATAAAGCTGAGAGAAAATGATTTCGTTCAGTTTACAGGAGAAATATATTATTCTGTTCACATTCACGACGAACGTGTTCAGGCCATATACTAACTTGCACTTCACCAATATGTTTCTTCTCCATAAAGAACATACACAATCGACTCTGTCCTATTCCACCACCTATCGTTAATGGATATATACCATTCAGAACATTTTGATGATATTCAAGCTGTTTACGTGTTTCACAACCACTTTCTTTCAACTGTCTCTCCATTGACAACTCATCCACTCGGATACCCATGATGACAATTCTATACATCTATCGTCGTGTTCACTATAAACTAGTATATCTCCATTCAATTCCCAGTCATCATAGTCTGGGGCTCGATTGTCGTGTATCGTATTGGATTTCAGAAGCTTTCCGATCTGTTTGAGAAAAACAGCACCGTACTGTTTAACTGCAAGATATTCACGTTCTTCCGGTTTTTTGTCGGGGTAGATATCTTCTAATTCTTGCGTTGTAATGAATTTAATATTTTCCGGTAACTTGCGATTTAACACTGGGTATGCCGATATCAAAATGTTCTCAGTCACTTTCATAGAGTCATATATCTTCTCAACTACTTCCTCCAATTTTTCGTCATTTCGTTCATCTCTCTGAATAATGATCTCCCAATCCCATTGGTCTACATAATATGAGTGCAGTGGAGAGATAACTTCATCACGTCTAATCGCATTCATGTCTGTGTAAATTCCATCGTATTGATTTAGTTTGTATTTGTGTAATGCCATACGTTTCCATTTGGCCAGGGATTGATTAATCAATGCTATCTCACCAGATTTAACATCGAACATAATTGCACGTTCCACGCCGGATAAATCATCTTGTAATCCACTGTTGGCCGGTACAAATAGTGGGGCAGATACACGTAACAAATTTAGTTTCGCTGACAATTGTTTCTGGAAACAATTCCTAATAAACTTGATTGCTTCTTGTGTTTTCTCAACATCCAGTTTTGACTGATACTTTGACATTACAGTGATTAGTTGTGAAAGCAGCGGTTAGGTGATCAACTAAAAATGTAAATCCCAGTAAAAACATTAAAATTCAAATCATGATCTCGTCGAAAATTCAAAAGAGAAGTAAAATCTTACTGGACTGAAATATGCTGTACATGTATACATCTACAGAGTAGAAGGATACTACAAATTAACGCATTATTTAACAATAATCTCATACGTTTATACATATGCGCCATTCAGTCAGTAAATTGTTCACTGTCTAGACAAGGCAAATGGATTTAGATAGTAGAGGGTTACTGGTTGGACTGATTATACGGTACCACTGACTGAAATGATTCTGATAAATGAGGTGTGAATCCCTCACCATCACTGGCCTCGACTTGCAGTTGTACATAAAATCAATCTAAAAGATCATAGAATTCAGGTCATCACTCCTAGCAAATTAGGCTTATTGTTTTAAGTAACCGACTAAGTAAAACCGTTTGTCAGAGAAGTTACCCGAAATAATATAAAAGCAACCTTAGTGTCCTCCACAACTTCACTAAGCATTTCTCACTGTTTATTCTTATCAAGGCCACAAAATAAACAAAATGGTACAATACATTTAGTGAATTAGATGCTAATTATAGTATAATCCCAATTAAAATATTATTTTATTCAACTAACTTATATTCATCGCTAACTCTTATTCACAAGTGATTTATATAAAGACACTGGGAATTTAAATCTGGAATATTCAAACACGAAAAGTATCCCAAATAAGTACAATGGGAAATTAATACAGCAGTAACTTACTTTATCAAAAATAATTGTCTGACCCCAAGTGCATTGTTTTTTTACTTATATACAGTGACAACCGTATGTTTAAAGCAAAATTTCATCAGCTTAATAATGATTGGTCAGTACAGTAGATAACAGAATAATACTTTCAGACCTAATGACAGTTGCATGACCAGACCTACACACAGATAAATCGATGTACTGACTTTAAAGTTTATTGGCTAAAAGTTTGATATTGAATAAAATGAAAGATGAGAAACTGAGAGGTAGTTTGAATGAATTGTGTGTATACAATCCAGTTTTCTCATCATCCGAGTGACGTAAAGATGCCACGAGTATTCGGAATTTGACCCTGAGACGTGACCAGCCAGAAGTTTAAACTCAACAAGTTTGTCGTTGGTAAAGACTCTTCTGATAGCTTATTATGTTCAGCAGCATCGGGTCGTTTTTTCTTACTATATTGGGGCGATGTGGTACAATATTGTAATGAAAAACAGGTACAATGAAAATTTCGATTCATCGTAAATTTTGTCGTTTTTCTCATTTTTTTCCTGCCATCCTGGAGAAGAAAAGAAGGATATATAAGTGTCTGCCGAATTATACTTGTACGTGCGTAGACACAAAACTGGCGAAATAAAGGAATATAAACTTATATACATGCATTTCATAAACATGCAATAGCGTGAAAATGATTTTCGCAAACTGACGTTTTGGTTGTTTTCTGAAAAAAAATACATATCAGCAAACATGTTAGCGACAAAAATATTCTTTTTTTTTATGGGATAAAGTAACAAATATATATATGCTTAGTAAAAGTAGTTTGTTTTGACACAGTAATACAAATAAAGAGACGAAACAAAATGTTATGAGGTGTCTTATGTGCAGTAATCGTTCAGGTGGTCTGGACACCCTACTCTTCTCCCAGAACGCGTTGTTCTAAGTCGGCTGTCAGATACCACCGAAGTGTCGTCGTGATTATTGATTATCGGGTGAGGTATTGTAATTGTGAAACTCGCGTCGTTCGATTGTATTGAAGGAAAAGTGCCTACAAATACGCGGCTTTGAGGCGGTCGATGTTGATTCTATCGTTAGTTCCGTTCTTATTGGTGATATAGTACTTACGTTCATGCTGAAGAACTTTGAAGGGTCCTACGTACGCCGTTTCTAGAGATCGTTGACGTGAGTCACGACGTACAAAGACGTGTGTACTACATCGTTGGGCAGGTTGAACGAAAACATCAGTTGATTGCAGTCGAGTAGAAACAGGTTTAACTGAACGCATTGCGTCTGTAAGCCTACTCGTGTAGGAGTTTGGATCCATATTCATTGAAGAAGATAAAGGATCCACAAATTATCCAAGAAGTCGGAGTATCGTTCCGTAAACGAGTTGAGCTGCCGTGTATCCAATGTCAGCTTTCACTGCATTGCTGATACCGAACAGAACGAGTGGAAGACATTCGGTCCACCGTGAAGCGTTTGCAGCTGAGAGTGAAGCTTAAGCTGTTGGTGAAATCGTTCTATCAACCTGTTTGCTTGTGGGTGGTAGGCGGTCGTTCGGAATCGCGTAATTCCTAATAGTGTATTCAGAAAACTGAAAAGTCCAGATTCAAACTGGCGTCCACGGTCTCTAGTGATAGTTGAAGGACAGCTGAAGTTTGCTGCCCACCGTTCGACGAAGGCCTAGTCCACTACTTCAGCAATAATGACCTTGATGGGTACTGCTTCTGGTCATCGATTGAAACGGTCTACACAAGTTAAGAGATAAAAGTATCCATTTGCATCTGGAAAGGGTCCTACCAAATCCAGATGAACATGGTCGAAATGAGTGTCGGGAGTTATGGATGAACCTAAGGGATATTTGATGTGTCTAATCACCTTAGATTTCTGTCAGCTTACACAGGAACTTGTTCACTCCTTCACGTCTTTATTTATATCAGGTGAGCAAAATCGTTCTGCAGTGGGCTTGATGGTTGCCTGAACACCTGAATGAGAAAACTTGTGCAACGTATTAGAGACGCTGCGTCCGTAATGTTTCGTCGCTATTGAACGATCTCTACCTGTGAATGTGTCACAGCAACGTTTTTCACCTGTTCCCGTCTGTTTAATACACTGTTTCATGGTTGTCGAAGATAACTCGTGGTTAAGATCAATGTCTTCTTTTCTAAGATGGGAGAGAGTAAAAAGGTTGATTTCTTGGAAACTGTTCAAGGAAGTTATACGAGATAAGGCGTCTCCAACTGCATTTTTGCCCCAGAAATGTGTTGTATACCCGAAGTAAACTGCTAAATGTAGTCCAGTTGTCGAGACTCTCAAGGGGAATACTTGTCTTAAGATTAACTTAAAGAGAAGATCAGAGGTTTATGATCGGTGAATAAAGTGAATTCTCGGCCTTCCATGGAATGTTGGAAGTGGCGCACGGTACAATACATGGCTAGCAGTTGCCTACCGAAATTGTTATATCTCGATTCGGTGTCTAGCAACCTTCTCAAGAAAAATGTCAAAGGTTGTCAGGTTTGGTTTACCCATTGTTGTAAGACTCCTCCGATTGCAGAGTCGGATGCGTCTGCTGAGATACTAATGGGTGCTTCGGTGTCCTAGTATGCGAGAAATGTTTCTTTGGCGATAATTTCCTTAACTGTGAAGAATTCTTTTATCACAAAGTCGTCGAAATTGATGGACTTATCGTTTCCACGAAGTTGGTCGGTTAAAGGTATCATAAGAGGCGCGCAATTCGGTATAAGCCGTCGATAGAAACTTACCAGGCGGTTAAATGTGCGTAACTGCTTGATTATGGTCGGTTCTGGGTAATCCGGAATGGCCGCCACTTCGCTTTTCAGAGGTCGAATACCTTGAGCATGAATGGTATATCCGAGAATATCTAGAGAGTCGGTGCCGATTTGACATCTCTGAATGTTTATAGTAATGCCGTGCTTTTGTAGTTAATCGAAGATAAGATCCAGATGCTGGAGATGAGATTCTCTGTTCGGATTTGCGATTGAGCAGTCATCAACATACGCATATACGAAGTTGAGACCTCGAAAGCGTCATCGATGAATATCTGAAAATTTCGTGCAGCATTTATTAAGCGGAAAGGCATACGCAAAAATTCGAAGAGACCGAAAGGTGTGATGACAGTGGTTTTAGGAATGTCGACAACAGCCATGGGAGTTTGGTTATATGCTTTAACCAAGCTGATTTTCGCAAAAACAGTTGTACCTTTCAAGGTAGCTGTCAAATCGTGAATGTGAGGCAACGGGTAGTGATCAAGAATGGTTTTCGAATTCACTAGTTGGACGCCAGACATTGCTGTTCATTTTAGGGACGATGTGCAAGGGAGATGCTCATGTGCTGTCTGATGGCCGAATGGTTCCAAAGTCTATCATATGATCGAATTCGTTTTAAGCCAACCTCAGTTTTTCGGGGTCTAGTTGGCATGCATTGGAGAACACGGGTGGTCCTGTAGTCGTATAGAATTGTCATCAATGGGTATCCGAGTGGATGAGTTGTCAATGGAGAGACAGTTGAAAGAAAGTGGTTGTGAAACACGTAAACAGCTTGAATATCATCAAAATGTTCTGAATGGTATATATCCATTAATGATAGGTGGTGGAATAGGACAGAGTCGATTGTGTATGTTCTTTATGGAGAAGAAACATATTGGTGAAGTGCAAGTTAGTATATGGCCTGAACACGTTCGTCGTGAATGTGAACAGAATAATATATTTCTCCTGTAAACTGAACGAAATCATTTTCTCTCAGCTTTATTGTTGAAAAGAATGTGAAGTGCATGAATATTAATTGTATGTATGTTTTCATAAATGTTGTCCTTTCAATGTTTGTGTGATTTTGACTTTCTTGTGTTCTCGACTATGATAATGGCGAAATAGATACTGTTTCAGCTAATCGTTAAATGAATGAATAGAGTTTCCACGTAATTTGATTGTGTGCAGAATACTTTTCAATTCTGAAGTTCATAAATTCGATTATCAGCTCTACAGATCGATCTTTATGAAATGCGGATTTCCGTATATTATGAAGGAACTCTTCCTATCTCTCACTAATGATCGAACAAGCTTAAAACTCCAAAGCTAGCACGTTTGGATTGAGATCATCCAACGAATGATGTTAGATCACCATGGAAAACCTAGAAGCACTGAACGGGCGTTTCGTCCTATTGTAGGACTCTTCTGCAGTACGCATACATGACCCCCTTCGCGCGATTTCAACCCAGT